GATCGCAACCCTCAGTGTCGCGCCCGTACCGGACCGGGACCGGCTACGGGATCGCAACCCTCGGTGTTGCACCCGCACCTCGCTCAGCCAGTGAGCGGCCGGTCTGTATGTGGGATCCGAACCCTCGGCGGGAGCGCTGCCGCGCTTCCCAAGCGGTGCACTGTAGCAGTGCGCCACCGGGCCGGCCCTATCTTTAGTCTTTAATGAACATGCATTACTTTTACATGGGGCAGGGAACTTACATATAAAAAAGAACACAGGGATTCCTCATTTAACAATCAATCTACATATACCCTGCCAGGCTCCTAACCCCAACTGGTCACAACTATCCATTTGCACAGTACACAAATCAAAACCAGAATATTTGGAGCTCAGAGAATTTGGCTTTTTATTTATTTATTTTTCTTAATCTGGAGTCTGAGAATAAAAGAAGCTAGGGAAAGTGACCATTTTGTATTCATTCATTCCACCAATATGTAGACAGCACTTAGGCAGGGCCAACTGGTTAGAGGGTAGCCTTTGTCTACCACTTCTTAACCTCACTGATCTATCATACTGATTCCCTCCTCACCCTTTGCTATAGTCCCAGAAGTTCCACCAATTACAGGTTTATTTCTTTTAACATGCCTGGGAAGGTTAAGGAACATCAACCATTCACAGATATTGGTTAATTAATTTAGCAGGTGTTAGCAAATTCTTTCTCTCTGTCCTCTACCCCCCAGACCCCAATCCCTTAGCAAATAAAATTGAATATGGAGGGGGGGGGAAGACACCACAGCAGAGATACAAGCAGTTTCAGCAACAGGGGACCAGATTTAAGGAAGAGGGGTAAAGAGAAGCAGAAAGGAACCAATGTTGTCTCCATGGTCAGGAAAGGATAAATGAGAACTTCCCCACCCCCACCCCCTTTTTCTTACTGGTTTCTTTTAACCATGATCCAGAATTCAAGCTGTGGTCTAGCCTGGAAACCTAAATAGCATTTATAGCACTGTGTTTGTTTCAAAAGATCAATTTTTTGAATTGGCCACACTGTTTTAAGGCTGAGAAGTGCTTTATGCTAACTGACCTGAGGGGGGAAAAATTTTAAAGAGCATTTTAACTATTTAGACTTGTTTACTTAAAAAAAAAACAAAACGAAAACAAAACTAAAGATGAAATAGGAATTTATTCCTATTCGGAAAAAAACTCAAAATGAATAGTTAGGTAGAAGGAGCCTGTCTATGAAAAGAGAAGACATTTTATGGCCATGATTGTAATTCTTTACCAACAATCTTCTTTTAAAGTAAAACTCACAAAATTATATCCTAAACAAAGTAAAGGAGAAAAGAAACAGTGGGAGGTAGGGTGGAGAGATGGGCAGAATTTTAAAACTAATAAATACAAAGAAGTTAGCTCCCCGCAACAATATGCTTTTTTGTGACTGGTAAGGGGATCGCAACCCTTGGCTTGGTGTCGTCCGCATCACGCTCAGCCAGTGAGCGCACTGGCCATCCCTATATAGGATCCGAACCCATGGTCTCGGCGCTCTCAGCACCGCTGCGCTCCCAGCACCGCCCTCTCCCAAGTGAGCCATGGGGACACACAACAATACGCTTTAAGCAATGATTACAGGGTGTCTTAGCTGGGAAAGGAGAAAAAGAACAGGACCAGAGAAAATTAGCACTGAGATGCTAAATGTTTTCCAGTGCCAGCAGAAAGTACTAGCTGCTCTGCCATCAACACATCCATCGCTCACCTTTGGTCACTGCAGGGCTGTCAAACCCTGGGAGTCTCGTGCCAAGTGCACAGACAGTGGAACCACCTTATTTGCAAAAATTAGAAAACTCGTGATATGATCAACAGTAGCAGCTGTGCTTTGTAGCAGTGTGTCCCCAACCCTGTCTCTTCTGAAACAGAAAATGCAAATTAGAGTTGAATTCTCAGAATTCTGAAAAGCTGATTTGATTCCTACAGTGGTGTGTCTGCAGCATTACCTCTTTCCATTCAGAGCCTAGCCACAACTGAACAAAGGAAACTCTTTCAAAAAAGTATTCTCTGCTGATGACCAGACAAATTAAATGCTAAATGCCAATTAATAAAAATGATTAATGGAGCACAGATTGAAAAAAATATTATGGAATTAGGTTCTTAAGAAAACCTCAGGGATTTTCATTTTAAGATGGTAGACCAAGCATGTACATCTATTTCTTCTACCTCCCAAGTGTCTCCTGAAATGACAGAAATATATATAGTCAAAGGAACAAGAATGGAAAACAAGAGAAGTTGACAGAACTTCTGAGGATAGAACTGATGAAGTGGAAAGTACAGCTCAAGTCCCCTGAGATGAAGTCTCTTCCCAAAGGAGCCTAGAGGGGAGCCAGTGTCAGATTTGATCTCACAAAAGGAAAGGATTGTGCCAGGGAGTCAGTACCAAAGCAAATGCCTTAAAGAGTTGCCTTCAGAAAAGTTGGGGCCAGGAGGAGCCTTTTCTCATGCCAGAGTGGCTGCAGGGTCTACTCTTGCACTAAAGCCAGAGACATGCCCTTAAAGAAAGCAAGGGATCTGCTGGGAGAGTTCCTTATGTGGGGCTGCTAGGCTCAACAGAGAAACCAAGCAGAGTCAAGGTCATGCCAGATTCCCACTAAAGACTCGAAGGCCAGAGTGACATAAGCTACCTGGCAGAAAAGGATGCCCCTGATCTTGTTCCCCCACAGAGATACTGACTTAACAACAATATACAGTTCAAAAAGCATTTATGGGAACTCTAGCAACCAGTTAAGAAGTTGCAGTACCCCAGGCAAACTCAAAGCACGGCACA